AAAATTTTAACAAACCTTGAGGACAGCAACACCTCCAGATAACTTTGATAAACGCTCTTGGGCCTTTTCTTTGTCAAATACAGCAGTGCTTGTGTCAATTGATTCTCTAAGCTGTCAAGGTCATCAGAACAATGTAATTCCAATTGAAAGAGCTCCTTTCTAGTATTATCGAGATCTTCTTGCATCTGATGAGTCAAAATGTGATAATTCTCAGTACCTGTTGGCACCTCTCCTCTATCCGCTGTTTGTCACCTCCACCATCTAGGATGATAGTATCATCAAGAGATACAGTTACCTGTGAAGAAGGATGTCACTGTATGGATCTCAGGCACAATAAATTATGAAAGCTGACAAACCTTTTTAGCAGTGCCAAGCATTTGTAATTGAACTTTCCCAAGATCAAGACCTCGTTCCTCGCTAATAACCTTGAAAGCAAAATGATGTGTAGAAGTCAAATTGAGTCATAATTGTAATTCACGTTAAGAAACTCTAGATTAGCCAACCTCTCCTCCAGTCATCACAGCCATGTCATCAAGATTGTGCCTTCTGTTTTCACCAAATCCAGGAGCTTTGACAGCACATACCTACATTTGACGACAGGTAATTAGTTGAAATTTACATGAATAAGCTTCACAATGATAACAGTGAGTTAAGGCATAGCCCCATGACTTGTGAAGGGAAGAAGCACTACATGCGGCTGGTCTTTGATAAAAGAAGCAGAACGAAGACAAGGAAAAGGGCATGCTTTCATGAAAAAGTACAGAAAGTCCAGTAGCTTATATAAACATTTCAGCACAGTATATATCAGGCCCTTAGGAAATTTGTTAATGTCACCTTGAGTCCAGCACGATGCTTGTTCAGTACAAGCATTGACAGAGCATCTCCTTCAACATCCTCAGCAACAATGAGAAGAGGCTTGCGATTCTACATAGGCCAAATACCACCCATCAGATGTCATAGCACCAAAAGCCGAGACATAAATGGACAAAGTTACCTTGATAGAAATTTCTAATGCTGGCAGGAGAGAATCCATATTTGAGATTTTCTTGTCATAGATAAGAATCAGAGGGTTCTCCATCTCCTGCAGGTATAAAATAAATAGTTGTGAAATTAATAGTAATCTCGGACTATCCACATGGAATCTTCCTGTATGTTGATGACTTGATGTGCATCTCGTCAATGTTTTCATCTGCCCGTCAACCCTTTACTAAGCCAAAAGCTATTCCAGATACCCCACTTTTATGGGCCTACTAAACACATATGGAACATTTGCAAATAGCCAAACATTAGTGATTATACAGAAGCTCCTAAAGAAACTACAGCCTTTGACTTCCCTAGTAGTGCACACACATTTCTACCAGCATACATGTCAGTATCACAGTCACAAAACTGAAGCAAGAAATAGAAACTGAGGGCATGAGGAACTCTATATGCTTTCAATAAAAGCAGAGAACTTCTCGTTTCCAAAAAAAAAAGAAAGAAACTAAGGGCACGTTTATTTCCTTGCCAACTTTACCATAAGTCCATAACCACGAAAAAAGGGGTGGGCAAAAAACAAAGATGGGCAAGGGTACCTAAGATTTCCCCAAAAAAATAGTTAGGAAATCATTTGTGCTGAATTAATTGGCTCAACTAAGAAATGCGGACTTACACATTTCTGAGTCTTCTGATCAGTCACAAAGTAAGGAGATATGTATCCTCTGGACAGCTTCATTCCCTGTACTGCTTCAAGCTCGTTGTCCAATGTTTTGCCATCCTGCCAATTTCCAAATGGTAAGTTGCAGTACAGTAAAATGGCTATACAGAAAGAGCCTAACAGCAAAAAGAAACACTCGACACTCACAACAATAGTAATGACTCCGTCCTTTCCAACTTTTTCCATAGCTTTTGATATCAGATCTCCAATTTCCTTTTCACCATTTGCAGAAATGGTTGCTACCTGGATTACAAGAGAAAAATGAAACTAGACATGCTTAGTAGAGTTTTTTCAAGTAAAATGCAAAAAGATGTTACATGAGAGCATACTAGTACAGAATCGCAATGATGATTAGTGGTTGTTCACTACAGCAGATGCTAGTAACAATCTTAGCAAAAGGTACACAATGAACTTCAATAAATGGCTCATGATGGAGTTGATGGGAGCAAATAAAGCAAGCTACCTCTACAGACCAAAGTACCTCACCTGGTTGATTTCTTCTGGAGAATTAATCTTCCACGCTTTACTTTTGAGGTGAGCAGTGATAGCATTTATGGCCTTGTTTATACCATTCCGCAAGTCCATAACGTTGACACCGGCTGCCACGGCCTTGCATCCTTCCGTAAGAATTGCCTGTGTAAGTACAGTTGCACAAGTGGTACCTATTTCCAGAACAAATCAGAAAAAAAGTGAGTGGAACTATACTCCATTGAGACAAGTAAAATTGGTTTCAAAAGCTGTTTGATGTATTGCAAGACGGCCGATAAAAATTTTGGCAGGGCCCTCAAATTTTATGTTCCGTGAAATGTGTATTGGCAAAATATATCAGAAGCTAACTGTGTTTTCAGTATCTAGACTACCTATCTGCTCCGTTAAAAGAAAATCTATGTTCAAATTAAGATCCATCTGCCTCAGAATATATTGAGAAAAAACTCAAACACAATTTAACATGGGCCTAGACTGGAGGTTGGAAGTGTGTGAAACAGTATTTGGTTGGCATAGTGATTTTAGTGCATAAAACATGATAAGAATATTAAGAAAGAAGGCAAATCTAAGGCCCCAAACTATGGCAATGTAAGTCCAGTGTGACTGTGTGAGCCTCTCAGGCACTAAACATAGCATTCTAACTAGCAGAGACAAAATCAATCCAATGATAAATTCGAATTGATCCATACCATCAGAATTTCCCTGTTCAAACAGCACAAACAAGATGGAGAAGATAAGAGTATCATGATGTTGACATCAAAGTCAGATGAGAAATAAGAGACTAAGATGGATGTTGTATTGCTGTATAGCAGCTGGCAGGTAGTTCAGATGCTGATTCACGAAAAAGCACAGTAATTTCACGAAGCCCTGGTTCCTACCATCCCCTGCAGCCTTGTTCGTAGCATCAGCAACTTGCTTCACCAGATTCGCCCCAACATTCTTCGCGCTATCCTCGAACTCCACGCTCTTGGCAACAGTGACCCCATCCTTCGTGACCTTGGGACCTTTACGGGACCCCTCGATAATCACAGTACGCCCCTGCAACACAAGCAATCAGCCCACTCAATCGAATGCGAAAGCCCAGCGGTTCCACTAGATCCACGCCGGTCGCCGCTGCATCACGCCCGCCCCGCCCCCGGCCAACGCCAAGCTGCACAGAGGCAAAGCAGGGAGCGCGAACCTTGGGACCCATGGTGACCTTGACGGCGTCGGCGAGGTCGTTGACGCCCTGCAGCATGGCGGCGCGGGCGCCAACGCCGAAGGACACCTCCTTCGCCGTGGCCGCATACCCCCGCGCCAACAGACGCGGCGGCTCCCCGCCCGCGCCCCGCGCGAGCTGCCTCCGCAGCGCTGAGGAGGACCTCGAGATGGCCGCCGCCGCCGCCCGGTACATGGTCGCACGAGTGTGCCTGGCTGCCTGCGGCTGCTCGTGTGCGTACTCGAATTGCTTTTGCCGTCGGTCGGTCGGCTGGAGGGTTTTGGAGGAACAGGGGGTTTGGGTTCCGGAAGCTTCGGCTTCTGCTCCACCGCGAGATCCACACTCCGGGGCTTCGGGCACTGTTTGGTTGGAGAGATTTCATTTTGGGTCTCGCTTCGTATTCTTTTCAAAATTTGATTTGACACTACACGAATTCTTTCTGTTTAGGAGTTTGTCTCTATTTTCTTCAATTTTTTGTTTCCTTTTTTTTAATCCATCCAAGTAAAATGGGTATGAGTTATTCTATACCTTGTTCTACATGTTTTTTCGTTTCCTTTTTCTAATCCATTCAAGTAAGGCATTATTTGGATGTGCATGTATTCATCTCAATTTACATGTGTTGGATTGGAAGTGGAATTAAACTAAATTCTATTTCAATCCACTCTAACACATATGAACTGAAGTTGATACATATGCATCCAAATAAGACATAAAATAGGTATGTGTTATTCATACCTTCTTCTACATGTATTGAGTTTTACAAATGAAATATTCTAACTCATCTTATCTTACATGATGAGATGGACGTGGAAAGAATTGTGATGTTATCCTAACGGTCCAAAGGCTCATACACTAGGAGGTACCACGTCCACACACTAGGAGCTTGCAATTTGCCAGTGTCCACCGCTATGACTTTTGCATGACTTATCCAGAATAAATTATACTTTCTCCATTTTAAATTATAAGACGTTTTAATTTTTATTTATACATTGATTTTACTATATATCTAAACATAACAATATATACTCATCTACAAAAATCAAAATATTTTATAATTTAGAATTGATAGAGTATGGGGTTGTTCGATTCTGACTAGACACGAACACTCCCAAGATATTAAGTCACTATATTTATATATAACTATTATGTTATAATCTATAAAGATCTCTAATCCCGGTGAATCAGCTACAGTACCTGCCGGTTTCCCTCACCCAGATCACTATTCATCCACAGTCTTTGTTCCTGGCTGTTCGATCCAGTATGCACAGCCCGGATGTCCGCCACACCCGCTTCCACAAACCACCGTGCCAAGCAACGCCAGCCTTATCCTCTCCCCACGGACCCGTCAAAGCACGTCCGTCAGCGTCTCACCGCATCCATCCGCACCGCCGCCTCGCGGCCTCCGCCTGCTCTTCCTCTCCCCCGTCTGCGAGCTCCACCGCCGGCGCCCTCCGGCGGTCTCACCGCATCCGTGCGCACCGTCGCGGCGCTCCGCCCCGCCTTCGGCCAGCTGCGACGACACCCCGCTGGAGCGCCCCCCGCCTGCACCCTCCCCAGGACGCGCGCGCGGCCTGCAGGGCGCCGCTGCGCCACTCCGCACCAACGCTGCTGGGGCGCGCCATGGCCCCGCAACAGTTCCCGCCCGCCTCTGGCTACCTCCCTCATGGCGCTTCATCCTCGCGCACTCCTGCAGCAGCGTACGGCAGCGTCCGCCGCCCGCTGGCGCAGGGAGGCACCAAGCGCCCTCCACGGTCGCCCAGTGAGATGGGGGCAGCAGGTATGCTCTCCTTTTTTTTATCTTTTTATTGTCTCAATTTTTCCATATGATATATTAATATGCACATGAAAATTCATTTGCAGGGCCCCTACCTCTCGCTAATAGTGCCAACCTCCTCCTGCATCATGTGACAGGCACGCCATGTGAGCCAAACTTCTTCCTTGCTAAGCGCTCATTATAAATACTGATAGATGATTCAAGGTATTTGGCAATTTCCAAAACGGTGTGGTGGTGCTGAATTTTGTAGTTCTCTTAACGTTCTGGTCATCATCGTGTAGTTCAGTTTTGGATTTTCTATTAGAGACCAGTACATATTTGTTGTCAAACACATGCTCAGTATGTTACTGAATCATTGCCTATTGTTTGTCAAATTTGCAGAATATTTAGGAGGTGTACGAGCTTAACATAATGATGCCATGTGCTAATTTCATGTCATGTTGTGCAGACCTAAATTTAGGTTTTCCTGATGATAGCATCAATTGCATCGGTAACGTTTCATTCCATTTCGCCCTTCTACTTCTCCAACATGCAGTTTATGTTTCCCTGTTTAAAAGACTAATGTGCTCTTTTTTTTATCTATGCTGGCATGGTTATGCCAACCTTCAGCTTACCAATGTCCAGCAGCTCGATCGGCTATTTCTGTGCTTCTTCTGTTTCAGGCCAGCGTGCTGTCTACTGTGCTATGGCACATGACATCGGTCTATGCATGGATGCTGTAGAATATTTTTAGATCAGTGTGTAATGTCATGACAGATTTTGCATAGTGATTACGTCTCTCCTGAAGAAGTGACTCAGAAATAGGTTACAATCCATTTGCTGGGCTACGTGTTTACATTTCATATAAAAGCTTTTGCTTAGGTTTAATTCAGATTTTGATAGGCTGGGCATTACATACTCAGAGCTTGGCTTACCATTTGGTATATTTTGTAAAGTATGCAGCGACCTGAAATGCATTAAAAAATTAGGTGCCTGTTGGGGAAGCCGCATAAAAGATTGGATCAGGGTCAATTTCATTGAGCTAAGTGTTTGTGTTTGCAAGTGAGGCTTTTGCTTATGTTCCTTTCAGGTTCTTGCAGGCTGTGTATCATGGACAACTAGCCACTGTGCCCGCGCTTCGCTGCGGGTGATCTGCTTGATATATCAAACCTTGGGGATCATGTATACGTGTTACTCGAAAGTATCTCAACGGAAGCTATAGCTAATTAAATTTTTCCACTACCATGTTGTGGAAGATAATCTTCTTGGTATATATCAAATCTTAGGGATCATATGTATGTTGTACTAAAAAATATCTCAATAGAAGCTAATATTTATTTTCCAGTATGATGTTATGTAAGGGTGATAGAGTTTGGCATCCATTACACAATACCTATTCTAGGTCACTAAATAAAATCGCTGGTATATTGGTGTAGAGAAATGTTTGCTCAAGTGGAATTCAAACAACCAACATCACTAAACTCAAAGCACAACACCATGTGGGATTACACTATAGGTGGAAATAATAAACACTACAATGAGGGTTCTTGAGGGGCCTATGTCTCCACTTAGATCATTCTTCATAGCTTGAGAAATCTTCTGGGAGGATGGAAGGGGGGAAGATGCCATCTCCTAGTGGTGCCTGAGTCAGCGGGAGAATTTCTTCTCCATCGACTGACCCTGTCTCGAAAATTCCATGGGAGGCCTCGGTTGGTGGAGGTTGGTGGAGGCGCGGGTGGCGTGTCCACAATCTTCCCTTGGATTTCTTCCATGGTTGCAACTAGGATTCCATCTAGTATTGAGCATTCTCTCCCTTCTAGAACAAGGGTCCTTCTCTTGGCCCTAGTGACAAGGTAGATATTCTTCAATTGCTAAGTGTGGCGGTCTTCGGCCTGTTTGAAGGCTTCAATTGTTGTAGCCTCACGGCTCTCCGCTCTAGCTGTCTGCGTCTTAGCCTCTGCAAGCTGCACTTGCAGGTTTCTTATTTGGTTCTCGGCCTCCTCTGCCCTACGAATGCACTTCTTCAAATGGGTGGCATGCCTATTATATTGCTTATCTAGGGAAAGCAGGTAGGTAGACATGAACACCGTAGTTGGGTCACTTTCACATAATTCAGGGCCTTCGAGGGTCCTCATTCGGGCTACCCACACAGGACTGTCTCTTGTTAAAGGGGGGAAGAATCTCATGGGTGTACGACATATTGGCCTCTCATAAATCTGGCATAGGTACCTCAAAACTTTGCGAGCGACAAATTGGTAAGTGTCCTCGAACCAAAACCATATAGTAGAAACCACCCACGACTCTATGTTGGGGAAATCTTTACTTCCTCCAACATAGATGATGACCTCGCACCGCTCTGTGCCATACTCCTCATATTCTCTACCTACATACTCTGGGTGATCCAAAAGACCTATCCTGGACATGGTGGCATATAGGAGCTTGGGAAAACCATCTTTGTTCAAGCAGTAGCTAGTGGTCCACTCTTCATCTGCCATCTGCAAGGAAAAGGAGGGTAAGTCATTTTTGTAATATATAGGATAGGGTAAGATTTCATAAAGATAGTCATGGTTTTCTCACCTTGCTAAGGACACCGGTGAAGAGGAAGGCCGCTGTAGCCGTTGGATTCCTATAGGAGAGCAGAGAAATGGGGAGAGAGGGATGATACTCGATGGGAAGGAAGTTGAGCTAGGATGTGTTACCTCTTGAGATATGAAAGACCTCTGAGGTACCAAATTTTATAGCTAGAAGGATGGAGTTGTATACAGCAGCGTAAGAACCGCATTTAATGCGAGCGACTATGGCGTCGACACGGGTGATGTCGTGTAGCGCCAAGGGCGGTGGTGAGGTGACATTGTGGCAGTAGTTGTTGGGCACTTCAAGGGCATTCTCCATTATTTCCGGGCACGCGGGTGCCTTTCCTGTGGATGCACGCCTAAACAATGGTAGGCACACACGACATGAACGATGGTGAGGTAACACTTTGGCAGCAGTTGTTGCCTGGTTAAGGGTCATTCTCCATTATTCATGGGCATGCGCGTGCCTTTGTGCAGGTTGTGTGGGAGCATGTCAAAACAGTGGTAGGCATAACATGAGCACACAAAGACAACAAAACTAGGCACAATGTTACCTACAATGGAGCATGTCCCTTAAATGTCCAAAGAATGAAATCATCAGAACGGGGCAAAGTAACCTACAATTAGAGATGATAACAAGAGATCTAGCAAGCAAGAGTATGAAAAAAATGGAAAGGAGATGGTCATGACGTCCTCGAACTGATTATAGGCAGAACATGACTTTTGCACAAATACATGAGAGGATGGGAAAGTAAAGAAATATGTGCAGGCACCTGACACTTCAGCTTCTCCTTTGTCGGGTTGCCTCTTCTTTGATTGTCTAGAGGAAGCTCCTTCTCCATTCGCCACACATGTGGACCTATGAATTTGTCCACATACATATGATACATATTATATTGTACTCATACATCTTTGCATTACGTTACTACATACATGTGCATAATTAAGTTTTTCTGCGAAGTGTATCCATGGTAGTACATAAGTAGTTATAGGAATGCCTGCTAGTGTACATTGTTTAGTTTGCCAGACCTAGGTTACCAACGCTCATAGCACTTACCCCCATCCCCTCTTCTTGCCCGACTACACCATCGACTCTTCATATACATGGGCTGGTCGACCTAGGGTTTAAAGGGCAAGAAGCACTTTCCCCTCTACCACTCCACCCCATCCCCCCTCACCTCTGTAGGATCAAACTACATCTCGTAGATGTTGTCGATTAAACCGGTGGTAATCATGGGTGCCACTGGCACAGGCAAGACGAAGTTATCAATTGACATATCCAAGGTGATTGGTGGTGAAGTGATAAATGCGGACAAGATGCAAATATATGCTGGTCTTGACACCTTGATCCCTCCCTTGCCAATCCTTTTTCGATAGCAAAGTATAAGCCAAATTTAAGGTTCAAAAGTTGTCTACTTTGGGTCCATACTCATGAGCTGGTTCTTAATGAGTATCTGTGTCGCCGTATTGATGATATGGTTGCTTCTAGCTTAGTTGAGGAACTAAAAGAGTATTTTGATACTACGCTGGCTCATAAGATTGGTAACCACACTGGGCTGGCTAAGGCAATTGGTGTGCGAGAACTAAGCAAATATTTTGGTGGAGGCATGAGTCTTTCTGATTCCATAGATGAGATGAAAGCAAATACAAAAGCCCTTGCAAAATCACAGACTATAAAGATTCGTCATATCGCTGGTGTTTGGGGCTGGCCTGTGTGTGTGGTGGACTCTACAGAAGCCATACGCTGCCATCTAAGTGGAGGAGACCATAGTACGGAGGACATATCATGGGAACGCGATGTGAGTTCTCCTGCAATTGCTATTGTGGATAAGTTTTTACATAGCTAACGCCAACGCTGGCTATCCATATGAGTTCTTGTAAGTAATTAAATAAATCCAATTGAACTATCTTTTAATATATGTGAGTGGTACCATGTTAGTTATAGTATGGGTTATTATTTCCATGACTCGAAAATGTATTGATATTTGATCTGGAAACCTTCCACTTATTACTGCTTGTAGCATGGATGTTAATGGCAATGCTTCATATGGTTATTTGCATATTAGCACCATATACTCCCTTATTCATTGAAAATCGAAGTACCCAGCTCTATAACACCCTTTCTTCTACCTTGTTGTACGATGCATTGATAGATTCCCCTCTAATTTGTAAATAACCCTCATTTAGAATGAACTAATGGAAACGAAGAAGCATGGAAATGCAAAGGACGTGTACCTAGGTGACAGGTAAAGGAAAGGGACTCAAAACTGGTCTGCAGTAATAACATGCATGACTGAGCAGAAGGATGTTGTTGACTGCTACTTTTATCAAGATGCTCGACACGAAGAAGCAAGAAGAGCATCGATTCTGGCAACACATGTGGTGGCCTACCTTCTGCATGCTTGCTGCTACCTGCTAGATAGCCTGATACTCGTATGCATGCATGTTGGTAGCCAATCTGACGCATGCATACATCCTAGAAGCATGCCACTACTGCCTGCTCCGCACGCTAGAAAAGCTAGATACTCCTACAATCCTGTGGATGCCCCTGGTGTTGACTAAACGCATAGGTACAAACTATCAGAAAAAGCTAGTATTATATGGTTATCTGTTATCCGTAGATGATTTGTCA